CATCTAAGCCAACCCAACCTGAGAAGACACTAGTTCGGAGCGGAGAATAAGTGGAACCAATCCGTAGACCCAACCAAGATGTGTTTCAAGTGCAACAGATTTAGGCATATTGAATCAGATTGCACAACCAAAAAAATGATCTCTTTTAATGATCAGGGAGCGGGGAGCAATTGAAAAAATAAATAGTGATTCTTGAGAACATGAAGATTTCAAAGAGATTTCTCAACTTTCACTCAACGAGGAAGTGAGAGCGATTCCAACTGACCTCATGAGAGGGACGCCAACTGAATTTAACAATAATTGTTCTAGAAGGGAGTGAATTCAAGTTAATGGGCGTTCATGCAGAGTATGAAGTTGTGGTGCCTCAAATTACCTTTTTGTAGACGATAAGAGGAGCATCGGCAGGACTGACATTGGAAGTCTAAAAATACCATGAGTTCGATGAGCCGATACCAAACACGGGCAACTTCAGATAGGAAGATTTCAGAATTTTTAGATATATAGTGTACCTCCTGAGGTGCCCCTATTGAAGGAGGTCCAGCATATCAAAGATGAGAAACTTCTGAAGTAATTCTGGAATACCACAAGAAATCATTTCGGTAATAAATTTAATTTAGTGGTGCATCCACCGACGGATGGTCAGACATGAGGGATAACCTGCAATATTGAAAATTGACTTAGGAGCCTTGCGGAAAAGAACATTCTACAGTGGGATCCAAATCTTTTCACAGAAGAAGATGAAGCCTCACGTGAGTGCTTACAATTCAGTGTGATCAAGCCTGTCATAACTTTCATTTCAGAGTTGATTCATCCTAAACATACTTGTTTATCAAATACTCTCAGCCTAGTACGATGAGTAAGATAAGCAGATAATAGAATTAATAGCTTGAGTTGCCTTATGAGAATCTACGTTTATATGCAGCTCCAGCTCAAGTTCTGCTAAATGATGATGAATACTTGTACTACGAGAAGCTGGAGTCGCTCTACCGAGAAGTTACACTTGCTCTACCACCTTCAACCTGACCAACCTGACACTATACTACGAGAAGCTAGAAGCTTCGACAGATGAGGTCAAAGCCCCTTCAACCTTGGGAGAATGCAAGCATCAAAAGGGGCGTAGGATCTCATCTCCGCATGGGAGAGCAGGAGTTCTTCCGCATTCTGACGGGACGCTGGAACGAACCTGACCAGACCTGGGAGTGCTGACTAGCTCTTCCACAATGGTTTGGTGCTTCCTTTCCATAAAAAGGTCCCAATGAGTATCAAAGGCTTATATATTTTCTTTTCTTGTTTCAATTTTCAGTTCTTTTTGAGTTTTTGTTCAAGACGGGTGTTGGCATCTTCGTTTTCCCTTTGAGGGTTGTATCCAAAAATTCGAGTGGTGCTACAGTTGTATCCCCGCTCCAATGTGGTGTTATCTTTCCTATCCCCTACACATCCGTTCGTCACTCCTGACCGCCTTCCATTGTTGTCAAAATTCGAGTGGTGCTACAGTTGTATCCCCGCTCCGATGTGGTGTTATCTTTCCTATCCCCTACACACCCGTTCGTCACTCCTGACTGCCTTCCATTGTTGTGGTCGCCCTTGAACAACGCCAATTTGTTGTTTTCACTGCAATTTTTCAATTCCAACTACCTGTCCTCATTGTCGGAGCCACAAACAGTTTTCCTCTTGTTGTCTGACAGTCCTTCCCCCATCTTTGCCTCTATTATTCCCTCTCTGTTGTCGTTGCGATTTCATCCCTCCCTATTGTTGTCATCAATGCTCTAGCCATCCCAACACCCTTCTCCATCTCCTCTCGGCCTTTTGCTTCGCTGTAGCAGACCCATAAACCCCTCGCCTTGTTGTCTACCATTGTTCAGACATCTCAACACCTTCCTACAGCCTTCACTGCCATCCCACATCGTTGTTGCAGCAGTCCCACAACTATGTCACCTTGCACGCTACCGCTTTGCAGCTGTCCTATATCATCGCCATAGCACAACGCATTCCCCTTTTCTTTTCGCCCCACTATGCCACTCTTTGACCACCCTTTGCTACCTCTTAGGAGGCCCAAATCTTCGCTTATCACCACCACCACCCCCATATCTAGCTCTGACTTGGATTTTTGTTCTAAGTTTTTGCAAATTCAGTTTCCCTTGAGTCGATTGTAGTTTCTATTTGAATTCAACAATAATATTTGTTTTCCAATTATTGTTTGGGAGAACTCCGACATTAGGTTGCATAAACAATCTCCTATTATAGTGTTGGGCTGAATTTGGATATCCTTAGCATGCCTCTGACTCCTATTTAATCATTGTAGGCCCTTCCACCATGAATAACTCCTTTGAATTGGTCACTATCTAAAGAAGATTATCGCTGTCATGTTTAGCACTCAAGCATTTGTGTATATCTTTCATTTGTGAAAGAAATTTACTCATGGTCAAATTTCTTACACCCCCAAAACTGCCTTGTAACCTTTTATTAATCTCATTATGAGTTTTATAACTTCAGTATGATGAAGATGATTAGTGATACTGAAGCTGGTGGAATCTATTACCCAATCCATAAGGTCTCATTCGTCTTCTGTTCCATCGCATTAGTGGCGTTAACTACTTAGATCATCCTCCGCAAAAGTATCTTCATGTGTTTCTTCATGCCTCTTCTTCCCCAAGTTCGAATATACTGCCAGTGAGCATGTCTAAATCCTTCAGGCATCTTTCCATCCACTAGTAAGTTCGGGAAATCTCCTTTCTGAGTTAATTCATCCAAATATTTGAGATCCCAATCATGTCTTTACCAATTGAGTTTTAAATATTTTTTTATCTTTTTAATAATCATCCGTATGTCCTCAGGGATTATTAAATCATGTCATTCTGATGTTAGATCGACATTTCACACCTTTCAACGATTTTTGTTCTAAGTTTTTGCAAATTCAGTTTCCCTTGAGTCGATTGTAGTTTCTATTTGAATTCAACAATAATATTTGTTTTCCAATTATTGTTTGGGAGAACTCCGACATTAGGTTGCATAAACAATCTCCTATTATAGTGTTGGGCTGAATTTGGATATCCTTAGCATGCCTCTGACTCCTATTTAATCATTGTAGGCCCTTCCACCATGAATAACTCCTTTGAATTGGTCACTATCTAAAGAAGATTATCGCTGTCATGTTTAGCACTCAAGCATTTGTGTATATCTTTCATTTGTGAAAGAAATTTACTCATGGTCAAATTTCTTACACCCCCAAAACTGCCTTGTAACCTTTTATTAATCTCATTATGAGTTTTATAACTTCAGTATGATGAAGATGATTAGTGATACTGAAGCTGGTGGAATCTATTACCCAATCCATAAGGTCTCATTCGTCTTCTGTTCCATCGCATTAGTGGCGTTAACTACTTAGATCATCCTCCGCAAAAGTATCTTCATGTGTTTCTTCATGCCTCTTCTTCCCCAAGTTCGAATATACTGCCAGTGAGCATGTCTAAATCCTTCAGGCATCTTTCCATCCACTAGTAAGTTCGGGAAATCTCCTTTCTGAGTTAATTCATCCAAATATTTGAGATCCCAATCATGTCTTTACCAATTGAGTTTTAAATATTTTTTTATCTTTTTAATAATCATCCTTATGTCCTCAGGGTTTATTAAATCATGTCATTCTGATGTTAGATCAACATTTCACACCTTTCAATAGAAAAATAAAGTTCAATTTTCTAATATTATTGACTCTTCATATTAATAATACCCTAAAATTTATGCATCCTCAATTTCAGTCATTTGTCGATAATGAATCATTTATCAAACATGTTTCTATACACCTCAACATAATAGGATGACAAAATTCAAGCATCGTCATTTCCCAAATATGCATAATCCACGACAATTATGGAGTTTTGTTGTGTTGATGACAAAATTTTTAATTAATCGGCTCATTTCAATTGTTCTTGATATCATTACCCCCCTCTCCACCTTATATCTTGAGCGGTCTTCTTTTTATCTTAAACTTTGTTGTTCTATGTTTTATCCATTTATTTCATACAAATAAACTATCTCCTCATATCACTCAATGCATCTCTTCGGTATACTCATATGCCTAGAAATGAAATCTTTTGCTATGTTCCACCACCACTCCAACCTGTTCATACATCTGCAAATATCGAATCTCATGAATCTAATTCCTTCACCATCATTGGCATGGACATAGCATATTTATCTTAGATTACTATAAAAGAACTCTGAAACCTAAAAAATTACTATAAAAGGAATGGAGGTAGGCGCGAGGACGCCCATAAGAATCTTAAAACCAAAAAATGTCTCGTGTTAATATATAAGAGGAAATAACAAACCAACACATAAAACATCAAAAATATTGAAATTGCATACTCGTCTGCAAAACAGCAAGCAGTCTCAAAGCACTATGTCATTCCTTCAATGACAAAAAAAAGCTACACATAAGAGAAAACAACTACAATAAAATGAGAATGACAAATGAACACAAGTAGATAGTGCAACAAGACAACTGAATAAGCATTTAATCCATCAACAAAAAATGTGGGGAAAAAAAAAGATAACATTTTTCCATACAGAAGAAATGAGCAGAATGCTTACTGGTATTTGTCAAGATCAGAATCTTTCAAAGTTTCCCGTAGAAGCACTCCATCCGTCATGTACTAGAAAAATGAAAATCCAATCAATAAAACTGACAGGCATTCATATGAGTAACTAACTAAACAAATAAAAAATAAATAAATAATTATTTAAGCTAATCTACTATTCACCATCAGAATATAGTTTCCATACGAAAGTGATGTAATTAAAAAAAAATGATGACCAAGAAAGTAACATGTTGCTGGTACAACTCAAGTATAGAAAAACACAATTCTCTGAGATTGTTGTAGGAGCAATAGCACAATCCAAATGTCAAAAATAAAAGATACAAACAAAATATAGAGGGAAAGTAGACAAGTTTGTTTTTTAGCAAGCATGACTCTATCTATATTTGCAAATAGCACGCCAAAGATTCACCTCAAATGGCGTCAAGCTTTAACAAAGCCTTAAAGGTTCTCACTTAAACTAAAATTGAATAACCTTTCCCCTTCAATTTAGCTCGTTCGTAGCCCAATAGCATAGTAAATATACAAATATTGTAAAAGCATCTGTGACCTATTGACTACAACAACATATTAGTTGTCAATTTCGTTTGTGCGTTCATGCGTGTTCGTGTGTCTAGAACCCTTTGAACTATTGTCACCCCGGTAACTATAACGTAATATCCACAATACTTATGATCAACTCTTTCTATTTCTTATGCGAAAGTGGCATATGTCTGCTACTATATTTTTAAGAAAGACTTCAGAGACTTATTTAATTGAATGTTTTTTCCTGTTGGGTTACATCTAAAATAAAACTGATTAAGAAATTATTAGGTAGGGTGGCTTGGTGAAGAATAATATTCCCAATCTTCGACACCGTCATTGCATTGCATCTTTGTATGGCGGCCAAATATATGGATTGATCACCGTCCAAGGGAATTCGAGTGCATAAAGACAAAAACTCTTATCTAGCCTTTATGTAAAGCAAATGTCAGAACATTTCTTAAATATATGATTTTATAGAATAAAAAAAGGCTGAAAATAAACTTTTTTCCTGTACAAAAGCAAGAAATGTCCAAAGAAGAATCCAATATCACGAGAACACAGGCAAAACAAAATGGCATGTTGTTTTTTTGTCAAATGGAGTTTGACCCATAGCCTATTTATGTCATCATCCGTACTCAATAAAACAGTCATTGCCAGGTCCCCAAATCCTGGATGTGAAAAGTGAAGTGTTACATTAGATAATTGATAGCCAGCACTATGACATGAATCTTTTAAATCATTATGTCAATGTTAAGGCGTCCCTTAGAAATGAAGCATAGTATAACCTGAATATAATGACCGAAGTGCAAGGGTAGTTGCATCGGCACCTAGGTGTAGTATGAAACAAATAAGTATTCCCACATTATGGACAGGTTTGGGAATAGAGGTTAATCCATGAAAATAATATTAGAATAGAAATTTGGAATATAAATATTCTCACAGATAAACTAATGGAATTAATAAATATGATTCATAAGAAGATTTAAGGAACTAAATGGGTTTCACAAAAAAAAAAAAAAGCTAAGAACACTGATAGTTTAAGTTTTAAACTTTGGTATTAAAGCATTAGTCATGCTAGAAATGATTTAGATGTAATCATAGATAGGTGTTAAAAAATAATCTTGTAAAAATTAGTAGAATTAGAGAGAATTATAGCTCTGATGATTGTTCATATTAATCTTTTTAATATAGTAAGTGTTTATGCTCCCCGAACAAGATTGGATATCTATCCAAAGAAAAAAAATTGGAATTATCAAGAATAACTAATAAAAAGGATACATTTTGAAGAAAAAATTTTATTGAATAAGATTTAAATGGACATGTTGATAAAATAATAAAAAATTTTAGAAATCTATATGGTGGTTATGATTTTGACACAACTAATGAAGAAGATAAAATCATATTGAGTTTTATTTAAACTTATGATTTTCTTATAGGTAATATTTTATTTAAAAAAGAGATAAACATATTATCACTTATAAGAATGTATCTAATAAAACATAAATTGATTATTTTCTTATGAGAAAAACACATCGTTCCAACTGAAAATTTAAGTCTCTAAAATTAAATATTGATTTTGGATTTTAAGATGAGTTGAAAGATAAAAAATCTAATGAAATATAATCATAAAATTAGATGAGAACACTTACAATTAGATGAGAACACTTACAAACACTTACAAAATAAATAAAATTATTTTTATGAGTAAACTTTAAGATTTTGGATGTTCATGAGGTTAATCTTATGTGGAATAAAGTAACGAGTACTTAAATAAAATGAAATGTAGAAAAGCAGTAGAATCTGATAATATTCAAATAAAAATATGGAAATGTTTAGAAGATCTAGGAATTTTTTAGCTCGCAAAACTTTTTAATATTATTTTAAAGACAAAAAATGTCTATTGGTTCCAATTTTTAAGAAAAAAGGGATGCAAAAGAGTGTGCAAAATATAGATGAATTAAGTTAAATGTGTCAAACATTAAAATTATGGAAGAAAGTAATTGAAATCAGCTATGACGTGATATGAGAATTTCTCAAAATCAATTTGCATTAATGTCGCCCAAGCCGACTATGTACGCTATACATTCATTGAGAGGTTTGATGGAAAAGTATAAAAAGAATCTATATATGATTTTTGTTGATTTAGAAAAAGCACGTGATAAAGTTTCAAAAGAAGTATTTTAGAGAATTCTAGAAAAGATAGGTGTTGATATTGTTTATATTCAAGTCATTAAAGATATGTATGCTATAGTTGTTTTTAGTGTTCGAACGCAAGGAAGATTGACCAAGTATTTTCCTACTTCAGTTGGATTATATTAAGGATAGGCTTTAAGCCCTTATATTTTTTCTTAGTTATGGTTGCCCTTACTGGACATTTACGGGAGGATGTACCTTGCTCTATGCTTTTAGCTGATGACATCCTTCTTGTGGATAAGACTAGAAATAGAAATCGAGAAAATTTTGAATTATGGAAGTCAACTTTAGAGTCTAAAGGTTTTTGTTCGAGTAGATCTAAAATTGTAGATCTAGTGGCAGGGTTGTAATAATTTTAGTAATAGTAGATCTAGTGGCAGGGTTGTAATAATGGGCTATTAAGTCATTAAAAGTAGTAAACATTTTATATGAAGATGGAGATATTATATGTCTATTGTTCCAAATGATGGTGATATAGATGAAGATGCTATTAGTAGAATTTAAGTTGGATGGTTGAAGAGGAGGAATGCATTGAGTTGATTTTGTGATAGAAAAGCATCACTTAAACATAAAGGAAAATTTTATAAGATTGTAGTAAGACTTGCAATGCTTTATGGTGCATAATGTTGGCCTGTAAAATAAAAGCAAAAAATTAAGTTAATGCTTTATGGTGCAGAATGTTGGCCTGTAAAAGAAAAGCAAAAAATTAAGTCAAGTGTTGCTAACATGAGAATGAAAAGGTGGATGAGTGGCTTTACAGTTAGAGACGATGCAAAAAAAATATATCAGTAAAAGGGTTGAAGAAGCTTCAGTGGCAGACAAGATTAGAGAATCGTCTTAGATGATTTGGTCATATTAAACAATGATCGTCCGATGAACCTCTTTAAAGAGTAGATGTTTTAGATTTGATATATGTTAAAAAAAGATAGAGTTAGATCTAGAAGACTTTGACAAGTTGACAAAATGATCTTAAGTTTGTAAGAATTAATTGAAAATATGACACTTAATACGACACAATGCAGAAAAAGGATTCATGTAAATTCATCACACCATGATCATGTTAGTCATAAAGTTGATCATACAAAAAAGAAAATTCAGCTTAGCTGTATAAAGTTAGCCGGAATTGTAAAATGCATTTTTTTTTTTTTTGTTGAAACAAAATAATTAGAGATTAAAAGACCTAGAATCAGTTTACTGCCACATGTTTCAATGCTTTTTTTTTTCTTTTCAATTTTAAGATACAGCCATGTGAGATGTCATTGATTCCCATCTAAATTAGGCCAAGAAAACAAAGTCAACAATACAAGCATGAAAGTGCCTAATAGAACTTACGAAACCACACATGCTGAAAAAACAACAAAAGTGGAAAGCTAATTGAGCCATCGCCTAGTTAGTAAATGCCAAGTTACATCTGATTCTATGGGAGGAAAAAAAAAGGATTGAAGAGGTTGGAGTTGGGCTAGTAGCAAATGGTGGAAACAAGATTGGAAATAATTTAACCCACACCCTTCCATTAAATAACAATATAGTCAGCCCAGGTCTTGGTAAAAGAATAAAGTTGGTGACAATGATTAAGGGGTAACAATAAAGAGAGAAGAAAAATAATGTTGAAGAAAAAGATCAACCTTCAAGCAAATTGCCCGCTCAAGTAAACAAGGCTTTGGAAATGAGGTTTTCAGGTGATTAACGATAGCCTTCTCTCAAAACAATGCAATTTAAAAAAATATATATCTCATCATTCAAAAGCAGAGAAACAATACAAGGATAAGAGTTAAAAGCGATACCTTAATGACTGTCTTTGGACCAGTGACATCCTCAAATCGAATAGCATAGCCTACTTTATCCCCTAATTCCGTCTCCATCTCTTCACTAACTCGTTTTGCAACACTCATGGCAGCTACACGCCTGGGTTGTGTACACCCAACAATTCCGTTCGTAGTATAGCCATCTTCATGTAAATACTATAAGATTATTTAGGATCAGATGCAATTAATAATTTGAATAAACAAATTATAATGTGAACTTGCGAAAGCAAACCTGTGTTAGTTGTGTTGTTTTCCCTGAACCAGTTTCACCAACAACAATGACCACCTGATTTTCTCGTATAACCTGCCAAGATTTTATGAACAAACAAAGATCATATCCAATTTCACCATAAAAAATACAGAATAAATACATAAGCTCCATAAAAAAAAATGTTCAATTTCTGTCATCATCATAGAATCTTAGAGGTTAGATACAAATAATAACAATAATAAATTAATACCTGCTTACTATGATATAAAGAGACGAGCAAGATATAAAGAGACGAGCAAAACGAGCAAAAGATTTATGTGGAAGTAGAAAGATGTAAGAAGAAACTAGGTTTAAAATTAGAGAAAAAATGAAGTACGTCAGTCAACCATTTCCAAGCCCTGCATCCAAGATGGTCTCTACTTCTATGAATTAGCACTCTACATGCAAATAGGAAAGCGGTTCTACAGACATGCATCACTCAAAGTAGAAAAATGCATCCATAGTTTAATGAAAAAGCAAAAAAATGAGTAGTGCATAGAGGTTCACGATATGTAGGCCATGCTCAATGGTTCGTGCTTATTAAAAGCATCACAAATATATCCCTCAGCAACGCATTATATAAGTCCCAAATGTGTTGTTCAGTAAATAATTATTTTAATACTGAAAAGAGCTTACAGTATAAGCTCATTGGGGGACTTTATTGAGACAAAAACAATACTGTCCAGTGATTGCATACTTTGCTTCCCATCATTCTTCTTGTGAGGTAACTCCCATAAATTTATATATAGTTCATGAGTCAAAATCAAGAAGTTAATGTAAAGAAGAAAAACAAAAATTAGGAGACAAGAACTTGCATCATTCTCATCCCAAATTTAAAGATTTTTTGGCTCGCATTTGTCAAAGATTTCTTAGTAAGACTTTAGCTTGCATCACCAATTGGGTAAATTTCAAATTCTTCCTAATTTATTGAAAAGATGACAATTTTATCTAATATCATTTATCATTTTTTTTAAGTTTTTGGAATGCATTTGTCAAATGTTTCATAGTGAGGCTCTGTACTGCATTTCTTAAAAGCTTTTCAGTTTTGCATCCTCTTAGAATATTTTATTATTATTTTTTCCAATAAAGAGATTTGACTCTTCCACTATTTACCAAATTTTTCATCTAGGACAGACCACGTAATATTTTAAGAAGTTGAGATGGACATTATAGACAAGTAAAATATGCAGTACTCAGTTATATGTCATTTACACGTTCACATGCTCAGAACTAGTGGTAATTTGCTAGACAACATTAAACTATGAGTGTCAAGTGAATCTCATAAGCTAAATGAGGGAATTTCATATAGTTTCAAAAAGCATTGGGATCTAATTATAAAATGAAAACCAAAGTGCAGCATACACCTAAAGATGAAAAAAAAATGCCAACTTGATTTATAACAAAAATTCCTTATTACCGCAAACTTTTAGTTGGAACACTAACCCAGTAATTAACATTATAATTAGCATTATTCCTCATTTTAGGGTTGCTTAATAAATATTTCTTTTTAAAAGTTCAACTTTCAAAATTCCTCATTACCACAAACTTCTGAATGCTGCATTATTTTACTCTTCACCAATTCTACCCACTTCATGCATTTGACAGTAGGCTCACCTCCATTACCAACTCACCCTCTTTTTATGAATAAATGAAAAAATATTAAGGATATGCTGTAATATTATTGCATAGATAAACTATGTGGTACTACCAATGGAAGATAACACGTTTACAGAAGGATTTGAATGTTCAAATGAGAATGTGAGCAATAACATTTCAAACATTTATAAAGAGATTGAATTAAACTTTTAAGGAAATATGAACCTGCAACAGTTCCTCACGAACTGAATATATAGGAAGATATTGTCTCTGTTGAGAAATTGATTTTGACTTGGCAAAATCACTCACTGCTACACTTTTCTCCTTTAAATGCTGAGAAAATTTTGCCTCCTCTTTGAAGTCAACTTCACCATGTTCTCCAACAACAGCAGTATCTGCATCCACCTGAACATTTAAAACTTTATTAGAAAAACAAGATGAAAAATTACATGAAAATAGTGAAAAAAAAAATTCTGACATTAAAATAATGACCTGCTCAGCGGTTTTCTGAACTCCAAGAATATCACCGAGTTTTGACCCAGCCAACTCCCAAAATCGTTGCCGGGATTTGTTCATGCTCTGCTTCTCGTGTATCTCTCTCACCAAAGAAGATCCTTTGCGCGAGATGATAGCCATATCTGATGTAGGATCTTTGATAGGCATTACAGGCTCTGCCTGCTTTGTATAAACTACCCTACCATCAAGAAAGGGAGGCTTTGTATCTAGAAGAAAATAAAGAAAAAAAACTTCAGACTACGATAAAGACCTTGTGGTCCAGGCAAGAATAATGTATTAGCACTATAACTGCATTAATATATAGTTTATGAAATATATAAAGCAAAAAAATTAAAAGATCGAAATACATGAGAGGAATTTCCAAAAAAAAAAAAAAAAAAAAAAAACTTCAACCTAAACATCAGCCTTTTAGCATCGCAGATATGAACCTATTTCTTAATAAACAAATTTAAGTAGTTGTGCCGACCAACTGATAAATATGCACCTAACTATTACTAAACGGTATGTGTTGTATCAAGAAGATATAAGAAAAGAGGGAGTCCAAGTTCGTGTAAATACAAGGTTACAAGGGAGTTGATGTACGCCTAATTTCAAGAAAGGCTATTTCCATGACCAATAAAATAAAACTTTATTCAATAAAATAAAACTTTATATAAAACTTTATTACAATTTTCAAAGCTCGATTGATCATTTCTTTTGGTTGGAGAATTTAGAAGTGACTGGAGAACGGTGCTTGAAATTCTTCTCATTTGTAGTTTATTCAATTTTTTTCAAAATACACTTTCAGTAGTGTGAAACAATAATCACTGGACATAAATAGTAGGGAAAAAAAGATTTATAGAGTTCAAGGGCACGAAAAACTAAAATTTAAATCTGACTACGAAATTTTCACTATTTAATCTACAAAGTTAAATTAGATTGAATTCTGTTGCACCGCCTGAAACTGAGAATAAGCCTATCAGATTCCTCAAGCATGAAATTTTCACAGCCAGTCGGTTGCCCAACTAGTATAACTGTTATTTCCATCCAGATAGAGACAACAACAACAAGAAGCATTTATCTCACTAAGTGGGGTCAGCTACATCAATCATTTTTCTCCATTGTGTACTCTGTCTCTACATGAATCCAGATAGAGACAAAATCAACGTAAATATAGATATGGAAGTCACTAATTAGAAATAGTAATGAATATCAGGGATAAAAATTGTAGCCAAAAGAGCATAATGAAAAATAATAGCAAAAAACTAGGTCTTTTTTTTCCTAAGCTTCATGCCTAACACAACAACAACAACAACAACAACAAGAAGCCTTTTATCCTATCAAGTGGGGTTGGCTACACGAATTTTTTTTTTTCCGTTGCGTCCTATTAAGTGTCATATTTTTATTTAAGCTTCATGCCTAGTAAAATAATAAAAATGCTTTCATAAGTATTTATAACAATTTAATTGAACTAACAATAACTATGTTAAAATAAATATGGAACTTACCATGAACAAGAAGGATAACCTTTCTCTCATCCTCATCATTAAACTCCATCAGAACTTCGGTTCCTCTTACGGCTCCAGAACGCAAAAGCTGGCGGTCCTCCCACTGAGCATTATCAGCAGTCAACTGTGACAGCTTTCTACTCTGTGCTAAAGGCATCAAACTCCCATCCTTTCGAGTCTACAACCAACAAATGTGATTAGTATGCGACTGGAAATTAAAATCTTCATTTCTGAACAAGGAGCAAGTAATTAAATAAAAAATGATAACATATGATCCAACAGGAAAAGTAGCAATAAGCAGAATATTTACCAGTTTTTTTGCCAACTCCGCCTCTTTCTTTTGAAAAGTATCATCTCCCTGGAATAATGACGAGTTATAAGAATCAAACATTGTGT